AGACATTGCTTCACCGTAGACACACGGCTTAAAAATTATGACTGGCTGCAGAAGCCTTAATGAATACTTTCAAAAGAACTGCAGTCACCTTTCACTTGTTAATTAGTGTGTTCTGAAAAGCACTGGGCTGTCTGTAGCCTGCATCTTCTCATTAGGCTGAGTGTCCTGCCTGTATTTTTTTTTCCACATGGTTTTAGCTGGTACAAGTGTGGCAGTCCTGATAAACTTTTTAAAAACAGCGAATATGTTGATTTTGCAGTGGTTTGTGCAGTATGTGAGCTTTTCACAGCGATTTGTGAGCAGAGGACACACTAAACTCACTTGTGGGAAAATTCTAGTGAGTGCAAGCCCTCTGGTGTTTTTTTTAGGCGAGTGGTGTCCTGCTCTCTCCCCCTCCCCCCAATAACTGATGAAGACTGCTGTTTCCACTGTACCCTTGGACTAATGCTTTTACATCTTTACCATCATAATATGTAGGCAGGCACAACAGGAGAGCTCCAGAAAACAGAAGTGACATAGGTATGTTGTATGAGCAGAAGGATGAGGGCAAAGAGGTGATGACCTCCCTGGGATCAAGCAGTGGATCAGCAACAGGAACAGAAACAATATGATATTTTTATGGGTGATCCGTGAAATACGAAAAAATAGTCTCCATGTGGCTTTTACAGCAAATGGGATAGTTGACGGATATATCTCAGCATGTGATATTAAAATCAGAGCTTGGATTGAAAGGTCTTGGAGGAGAAGAGGGAGGAGTATGACTTCCAACTTCCTTTCTGAACAGAGTCCGTATAATCCTAGCCACTGGTCGAGCAGCAGTAGTAGTGTTAAACAGGTGCAGATGCATTCTGCCCTTGACAGTTACTAGCAGGCACCGATTCTCTACGACTCCAGGCATTCCAGAAGAGCGGAGTCTGTAAGATAGACTTCAAGAACAAATGGGGAAGGGGAGGGAGCACAGAAGGATCCTTAGTGTAGATGTGAAGAGTTTCAAATCCTATACACCTGTAAATGCTTAATTCAAGGGCATAGTCTCAAAGTGCTAAGCTGACTTTCTTCCAACGTAATTTGTTCTTCATTCTAGATGAGAAATGTCTGGTTTGATATTTCTAGCTGCAACTAGTGACAGCTTGGTTTACTTCAAACAAGGAAGGCAGACAACAGATTCACAGTATAATTGTTGGAAACTAAAAGGAGGCAGGAAGGGAGTGAAGGAGGAAAGTATCTGAAAACATAATCTTTGTTTTCATTCACCAGTAAGCCTGGAATAATGCTCAATTTAAAGAGTTCTTGACATCCAGAAAAGTAGCTGGGATGGAAATTAGAATTCAACCCATCATTAACAACATGGGTGGTAGCTGTTGGCTGCAAACACTAGTAATAAGTAAAATCAGTTCACTGACTTAATGTCCTTGCCTATCAGTTCTTCTTCTTTGTGAACAGAAAATTTGCATGCTTGACATTGCAAAGCTTTGAGGCCAATTTCACAGAACTCCTTGTTGCCACCTCTATGCTTCCTCAGCCTTCACACAAAATTACCTCTGAAATCCACTTCTGAGGGCTCTCTATTCAGAATGGGTTTTACTTAATGAAGGTAATTCTGGTTTTTGTAGGACAACCAAAAAACCATAGACATACGTGGGAAGAAAGAGGTTGGGATGTGATTTTTGTGGAATTATTTCACATGAAACTACAATAAAATCCACCTCTATTTCAAACCAGCCTGTTCCCTGCTTCCAGGAGTCAGCAGGTGCTCTTCTGCCTATTTTAGGGTAGCTGGCTCCTCAGCATTTGTGTCAGACTAGGTTATACCTGTATGCAGGGCAATAGCTTGTCTACAGTCCTGTCACCATTAACTGCAAGATTTCTTTACAGACAGTTGCAAGGTGATGTCATGCCTTCTGGCTGGTTGGCAAAGGGCAAATCTAAACAGCAGGAGGTGAGCAATTTGCCATATAGCCTGCACCTTCTCGTCTCTGCCATCACGTTGGATTGACTTCTTACTTTCTCGAACCTCTCAGACCTGTTCCCTTTGCAGGTCTTCCCCTTAATAGTGTTCTGTGCCTACCTTGAAACAGAGGTGGATTTTATTCTGCCTTCTTGTGAAATAATTGCACAAAAAATACATTTTCTAATTCAGAAAAGTCTTACTTAGGAGTCCTGAAATTCAATGGCACAGGTTTCTTTGATTCTTTTGTGATCTTTTTTCTTTAATAGTAGATTTTTACAAATGTTTTGAATCAAAATTGTTGTTGAGTTAGAAGCTCTACTTAGTGGTTTCCGAAAATACACAAATGGTAAAGATTAATAATAAACTCCTAGAGAGATCTAGTTGGGAATGGACCTCTGGAGGTATCTGGTCCAACCACTTGCTCCAAGCAGGACACACTCATCAGGTTGCTGATTGCTTTGTACCAGCAAATTTGGAAAACTTGTGAGGATGGAGACCTCCTGACCTCTCTAAACCTGTCCCCAAGGCTGCACCACTCTTATGAGGAAAAAGCTTTTCCCTCTGTCCAGTGGGAACTCTTTGTTGCATCTTGTGCTTATTGATTCACTGTGTACCTCTGAGAAATTTACAAATTTGTATAGCTCTCCCATTTTGGCAATGTGTGACTGCAACCTGACACCCTCCATCTCACCTTTTCTTCTCCAGACTGAACAGACAGAGTTCCCTCAGCCTATCCTTGTACATCATGTGCTTCCACCCCCAGACCATGTTTAGTGGCCCTGCTCTGGACTTGTTCCGATGTTGGCTTCTCTGTTTTATGGGGGGCCCTCACATGAGTTACAGTTACACTTACAGATGCATCCTCACCAGTGCTCTGCAGAGGAAGTAGTCACTTTCTTCCAGCAGCTGACTATACTTCTGCTACGCAGCCCAGGCTGCAGTAGGCCCTCACGGGCAGACTATTGGATCAGGTTCTGTGTCCTGTCCACCACAGTTCCTTTTCTGGGCAGTCGTGTCCCAGCTTGCACTGCTGCCTGGCTGTATTTCATCCCAAGGGCAGAAGCTTTCTATTTACCCTCTTTGAATTCCATTAGGCTGCTACCCGTAAATTCTAGGTCACGTTCTTTTTCACTCACCTTTACAAACTGTGTGGCTTCTCAAAAAGCTGACCTGTCATGATATAGAGGAGAAGCTTCTTGTTCGCTTGCAGAATTCTGGTAGCCATGGAGATCATATGCTGTAAGCTGAATGACTATGTACTACTCAAACCTAACATAGGTCAAAGCCTGTCTGTCTTGAACACATGGCTTGTAGCAGTTTGTTTACTTTATATATGTTTTCTTTCTTTTTTAAAAAGGGCATGTGTACTTGCCCTTTCTGCATTAAAGTGCATTTATCAGACTGTTCTCCAGTTCTTGCTATACTCTTGAAATTAGCATACACCTGTGATTCCATTAATTTATCTGCACACTTTTAAGGCATTTGACAGCAAAGCAGATGCATAGTGAAGTGAAGAAAGGGAACAATACATCTGTCCTCATAGTAAAGTATTTAAAGTAGCCACTCTTGCTTAAAGGAAATAACTTAGAGGGCAATTATGATTCAAAAGTTATCTTTATTTCTCTAATAGCTTGATATTTAAAGTAAGATTTTAAGTGTGAAGAGCTATCATTATAGTGCCTGCAGTGGTTTCTGCTCACCAGAAAGGGTCACTTCATCAGAGAATTGTTGAACGTATCTGAAAGATATGAGCTTGATTGTGCTACAAGCACTTCCGGAGGGAATGCTGCACCTGCTAACTAGAAAACAGCAGATTTTAGAAAAGCTGCTTTTAACATCCCATGATTAGTTTTTCTGCTGTAGCTTTGTGAGTAGCCTTAAACTGGGTTTCCTTGCTGACATAGACCAACTCTACTTTTAACACTATTGTCTTTGTTCCTGGATTCACTTCGAAGAAACAATGGTTTGGAGACAGAAAGTTAGGAAGTGGGACACCAAGCAAGTGGTAAAAACCCTCTATGCATTGTTCAACATCCTGAAGTGTAGGAGCTGTCCTTTACTTTTGTTTTGCCCTGGCTAAATTCTACAGTCTTAAAATAGCCTGTATGAGGTTCTAAAGACAGCAGACACTGAAGGGTCACTGCTGGGAAGAGATGCAGTCAGCTCTACTGCCTACTGTACTATATGGCAGTGTGGGTGCTAGCTGTCAGAGTGGCATTATGTTGGATAGGTTTCTTTCACAGGAACAGACAGGGCAGTTACCATGCCACTCTTCTCTTCCCTGTGTAATCATGAGCCTTCCCTCAAAGAGGCAGCATGCTGTGCGGGTCATCTTGGAATTGAAGGCTTCAGGTGTGGAGGTGCCAAGTGGTTTCTGCCTGCAGAAAGGCTGCAGGATAGCAGCCTTTGCTCAGTACAGTGCAAGTAAAAGTCTTTATGCCTTTTATCTTGGGAATGGGTTCATCTGAGGAAGTTTTCCCAGCTGAAGCCACCAGGTTCTGTGTATAGCTGTGTTCTGGGCAGCTGCTCCCTGGTTGGGATGGATGTGGTCTGTCCTGAGGTCTCCACAGGCCTCGCTTTGCCTTGCTTCACCTTGCCTGAGTGAGGCTTATAGCCTGCTTATGTGTTTATGAAGAGAGCCTTAGGCCTCTGACAGGCCAAAATCAATCATACCTTTTGGTCCAGAAGTAATGATGGGCTGCAGTGAAAAGCAAATGTTCACAGGGATACACTGGGGGTGGGGCAGGAAAGGGTTTGTCTTTTGGCATGCCCTCGATCAATTCCCCAGTAAGACAGACTTGCAACTGTATCCAGAGAGCACAGGTGGTGCAAACAAAGCTCTAGCTTAGGTTGCCTTTGTGTTACACTGTCTGTGGGAGTTTGCAGCTAGCAGTCACTGTCTGTCAGAGTCTGGCCACTGTCTTGGCCTGTCATCCAGCAACTGCTTGCATTTTGTTCTCCTACATTCCCCTACATCACAAAGGAGAGCCTGTGGTGGTGCTGCTCCCCTCATCCAGCAGCATGAACTAATGCTTCGCTTTCCTTGCAGGAGCAGTCAAGGTTTTATGCACATGAAACTGATGAAAACCAAAGAGAAATACATCCTGGGTCAGAACAGCCCTCCCTTCGACAGTGTTCCTGAAGTCATCCACTACTACACCACAAAAAAGCTGCCTATCAAAGGAGCAGAACACTTGTCACTGCTCTACCCTGTGGCTGTGCGGACCCTCTAATAACCTAGTCTCACCCCTTCCTGTGGATGGGAGGTGAGAGGTAAGCTGAGTTGCACAGTATTCATTGACAGAATTCAGTGCCTGAGTCTGTGATGAAGTGTGACAGCCTTTAGTCTCAAGAACGGGATGCTCTGCAGAGTTGTGTACGGGACTGTGTGTATGGTACTGTTATGCTGCAGAATGCCTCTAGAACTGTGCTTCTACATAAGAGAAATAAATCCTATTTTAGTGCAAGGAGAACAGATAACCTTCCCAGAGCTTCTCTGTGAATGAAAGCGCTTTCCAATGAAACTTCTTCCTCCATGTTTTGAGCAGAATCGGCAAGTTCTTCTCACCAGTAAAACACCAGCAAGTCCTGTTCTCTTGTTACCGTGAGAAACTTCTCCATGTGAAAGAGTAGCCTGACTCTGGGGGACCCTAGGGTGTTCTTGGGGGACCTGAGAAGGAGATGCTTAGCAGTCAAGTCACTGTGGCTCTGGTCACTTAGCTTGGTGGGGTTTGGTTTTTTAATGCAGTTTCTTGGGGTAGTCAAATTTTTGAACTTAGGCACACAATCATAAAATGATTTTATGAGAGCAAATTATAGTCAATTATTTATGAATAGCAAATGTAATTTAAAAGTAGTTTATTATATATTTTTATCCTTTTTGATACAATAATCTCTTAAGGTTTACTGTCTTTATTTGCAACATTCATTCATAGATGCAGGCAACTAATCCTGTTTGGGACAGTTACACTGTAACGTTTTAAGTAGTTGAGAATGAGTCTTTTTAATATGTGGGTTAATATTAATGCATGAATGTGGTCAAGACTTTCATAAAGCTTTAGTAAGCAAAATCTTCACTTGCTGATTCACCTGAACCAAACAGTTGTCCCATTGAGGTATCAGACTGACAAGCATGTGTCACACTGCCTTTCTATAACGTTGCTTTTGTGGCTGTGTAAATGAAACTGTGGTACGTAGCAGAGCAGAATTTGTGTTTTCTGGTATACCAAGGCATTCCTAAAATGTAGTCCCTTGACACATACCTTCTGGCCAGTGTTCATTTTCACCATGCACAGAAGCCCCCTGCTGTTTTTCACTCACTGTCACCCAGAAGTAGTGCAGGAGCTGCTCTGTCCTGCCAACTCAGTGACCAGCCACTTGAGAGAAATTTTCTACATGCTCTGTGTGCTTGTTAAATGGGATAAGTTAAAAATGTATTACTGTACACAAATTGGAACTCAAGAATCAATAGCCTGGTAGTCCTCACTTTGTGCCATCTCCCACCTATGTTGTACATTAACCCCTCAGCTGTTGTAGTAGCAAACTGGTTATATGCAGTTTATGTGCTTTACAGACTGAAATAGGACTGTGAAATTGTGTGTTATTTCATTCAGCTTTCTTACCTACTATTCCCTTTTATGTATGCTTAGAAAGACCTGCAAATCTGAAAACCGTAATGGTGTAACTACTTACTGCCTGTAAAAGTAGTGCTTCACTGTTCTTTGTAACAGAAAATAAGACCCTACTCTCTCTAACAGCAATTACCAGTAGAAACAAACATTAACATCAAACAAAGCCTTGCCAGGCTTCCCTAAGCACATTGTCTTTAGTTCATGGAGATGACCATTGTAACGAATCTTTCTTGTCATGGACCTGATTAAAAGTCAACTGAAGTGAGCAGATGATACTTTATTGCTGTCTGCAGATTTTGGGTTGGGAACCCTTGCTTCATAAAAATCAGATCAATATGCATCACAGAAGTGTGTACATAGTTTATTACAGCTTCAAGGATCAGATCAGGATTCTGGGTTCAACAAGAGGAAATCATCTCAGAAAATGTTGGTTGTCTGTGGGAAGGATTTTTTTATTATTTTACAAAAAGACTTTTCGAAAGTACTCAGTAATTGCAGAATAAATAAAGCTGGGATTTTGTTTGCAATGTAATGCTGTGTTTGTTTATTTAAGTGATTGTATGATATTTTTCCAGTGAAGGACTATTATTCCCAGACTTTTTAATGTACAGTGAAAATGTGGTGTGTTGCAGTGTGTAGTATTGCGTATAAGTGGAAGATCTCGCAGCAATTGTGCCGATACAGCACATTAAAAGTTTATTTTTAAAAAGTTACGAACTTCTCCCTTTTCTTACTCTAATCGTCAATGTATACTCAGATTGTCTTGAATAGCTAATAGTTGAAGCGGCCTTTCAGAGCAACTTGTGTGTCTTAACTGTGTAGTGAAAGTAATCATTACGCTGAAATCTGGTTGGGAGTCTGGAAGATCATATGGCTCAGTTCTGCCCTGAGTAATTCTCTTGAGAATGTGCAACTTTGCAAGGGCTGTGCCCAAACAGCACGTGTGAATTACATTGCTGTCCAATTGCCTGAGGTGCTCAGGGAATCCAGTTATAGCTGTTTACAGTGGAACACTGGTGAATCACTTTTTTCAGACTTTGTGAGAGGTGTTAATTAGGCTTCTATTTTGATGAGTATTTCATGGAATCATAGAATCATAGAACGGCCTGGGTTGAAAGGGACCTTAAAGATCATCTAGTTCCAACCCCCCTGCTGTGGGCAGGGTTGCCAACCACTAGAGCAGGCTGCCCAGGGCCCCATCCAGCCTGGTCTTGAGTGCCTCCAGGGATGGGGCATCCACAACTTCTCTGGGCAACCTTTTCCAGTGCCTCATCATCCTCTGAGTGAAAAATTTCCTCCTAATATGCAACCTAAATCTCCCCTTTCTTAGTTTAAAACCATTCCCCCTCATCCTGTCACTATCAACCCCTGTAAATCATTGCTCCCCCTCCTGTTAATACGCTCCCCTCAAGTACTGGAAGGCCGCAATGAGGTCTCCCTGGAACCTTCTCCAAGCTAAACAAGCCCAGTTTCCTCAACCTTTCTTCATAGGAGAGGGGCTCCAGCCCTCTGATCATCTTCATGGCCCTCCTCTGGACCCGTTCCAAGAGCCCAATGTCTTTCTTGTGCTGGGAACCCCAGGCCTGGACACAGTACTCCAGACGGGGTCTCACAAGAGCAGAGTAGAGGTGAACAATCACCTCCCTCTCCCTTCTGGCTACCCCTTTTTTAATGCATCCCACAGTGTGATGAAAGCCCCTAAACAATCATTAAGATTTGTTGAAGTACCGTCATCACCATGAGTTCTGCACTTGATAATAGTTTAACCTCTGACTCTGAAATTAAGTCTTAGGGCAAGAATGCAAAGTGCATAGCTCTTTCAAGTGCAAATGTACAAAACACACAATTCCAGCTTCTCAAAGAACATGGCCTGAGTCTATGCTCTGAGGAAAACCCTGAGCTGCTTGGAGGATGCCACATTTATGTGCTACTCCTTACCATCACAACGAGGTTCAGGATTTGCCCTTTCTCTTAAGGTCATCTCAAGCTGGCAACACAAACACTGTGTGGCAGTGTTAGTGGAGGCTGCAAATGCGCATCTTTCATCCAGGCTCTTATTCCATGTTCATGCTGCTGCACTGCTAAGCTACACTTTGTGGTACTCGCTTGATCCTCTGCTGTTGTTAAGTTATTCTTGCTGTCCTCAGGAGGTACACAGGTGGTGCCTGAGCAGAACAAGCAAATTCTTAACGCTGGTTTAAATAAATAAATAAATCCAACCCAACACATAGCTGCACTAGCTCCTTGGAGAGGAGAAAAAATAAAACAGAAATGAAACAGATCTGTCTGTGCCCCTGGTCTGAACAAGGGGAGAAGGGAATGAACAGTGGAGAGCCAGCTGGTTTTTGTACACTTTTTCCTTTTTAATGATCTGCAATGATCCCACATAAAGCACAGAAAATTGCTTCTTTTTATTCCTTCTTGCTGGAGTCCCCAGTAAGAAGGCAAAAATAAGAGAAGGAAGGAAATAGCAGCAGCTGAACAAAGTTGTTGGTCTGAAATGAAACTAATAGAAGTACTGCTGAAGAAGGATGTTCATAGGTAGCAAGGCATGTCCATGTACAATTCAATTTTCTGCAGCATACCTGTTTATTGCCTGTTTCAGGCCTTGAGCTTACTCTCTGAACCATGTACCCACAATTCAGGGTTGCTGTGTTGACCTCAGTGCTCTGGACCTTGTAGTTAGTTCAGTGACAAAATCAATCCAAACGTTGCCCATGCTTTCTCAAATGTCTTTCAGGGTTCCTGGATTGCATTTATTGCTGCTGACAGTTCCAAGACCACACGTACAGTAGCTTAATTGCAGCTTTGCAGAGCTAAATTTTCTTTCTAAGCCTGGTTTGGGGATTAGTATCACTGCGACATTGCATTGGATACAGGTAACAATTAAGTGTTGGTACCTGCATAGTAGCACAGGAAAAACAAAATGTTGCATTCTGTGACAGACTATCAGAGCCTTCCTTGGTCCTAGTGTTGCCCTGAGTGGCACACAGGGCCCTCAATGCCTACCTATAAGCAAAGGTGATGTGACATTTCTGTCACTGACTTCTGTTTCTGGGGTTTGTGCAGCACTACCAAGCCACAGAAAAATCTCAAGGTTCCTACTGCCAGCCACACCGCTCAGACAAGTAACTTTGGGGGACTGATATCAGCACCTCTCCTGTTTTGAGTCAAGCCATTGCTTACCTGTCAACTAAATGTTGAAGTGTAGAAGGCTTGTAGATCAAGAGTTTATTCAAGAGTAAATCCAACCACTCTCCTATGCCTGTGTCTTGAACAGACATTCTGGACTACCTCCAGCTGGCAGTCCATATGTTGGACTGTTAGCTGTTGATAAGCTACAGGGAAATTCAGAGGCAGCTATTCAGAGGGAGCTTGATTGGCACAAAGAATGGGCCAGCATGAACATCCTGGAGTTCCATTAAAGGCAGTCCTGCATTCAGATGCACTGACCCCTTGCAAAAGGACAGACTGGAGGGTCCCCAGTGGGAGAATAACAAGGAGCTGAACAGTAGTCACCAGACTACCTTTGCAGTCATGAAAGCTTACTGCAGTCAGGACTGTGTGGTGGAAGTGTAGCCCGCAGGTGGAAGGAAGTGATT